TGGCTGAAATGTTAATCGATGCCATAACCAGGCATGTCAGGTTTTCTTTCATGGACTGTTACTCGGGCTATAACCAGATATACATAGCCGAGGAGGATGTACACAAAACGGCGTTTTGGTGTCCAGGATCCATTGGCTGTTTCGAGTGGATCATGAAGCCATTTGGATTGGCCAACGCCGGGGCAACTTACCAACGAACCATGAATGCAATATTTCATGACTTGATTGGTGAGCTTGTCGAAGTGTACGTGGACGACATCGTCGTCAAGTCAAAGGTGACAAACCACCACCTTGCTCATTTGCGCAAAGCATTTCTACATATGCGTGTTCATAAGTTGAAATTAAATCCGCTCAAATATGCGTTTGGTGTGAGTGCAGGAAAGTTTCTTGGTTTTCTGGTAAACCAACGTGGAATTGAAGTAGATGGCAATAAAACAAAAGCCATCATCAATGCCGCACCACCATCTAGTAAAAAAGAGTTGCAACGTTTCCTCGACCAGGTACATTCGAAGATTTATCTTGAATTGTGCTGGCCGGACTCAAGTGTTTTCCTCATTGCTAAAATTGAAGAAGGAAGACAAGTTTGTATGGAGGGAAGAACATCAACGTGCGTTTGATGATATCAAGAGATACCTGGCGACACTGCCGGTAATGAACTCTCCCAAAGCAGGGGTGTCGCTGAAGTTGTACTAGTCAGCCACGGACACTTCTGTTGCATGTTTGTTGGCTCAAGACAATGAAGCAGGCAATGAAGAGGCCATTTATTATCTAAGTAGGCTTTTGAACGAGGGCGAGAGAAAATATTCCCCCATAGAGAAGTTGTGTTTAGCGTTGTACTTTTCTTGTACAAAGCTTCGCTACAACCTGGTCCCTGTCCGGGTACAACTCATTTTCCAAACAGACTTGATTAAATACATGCTATCTCGGCCAATTATTCATGGCTGAATTGGCAAATGGACCTTGGCTCTGTCTGAATTTAATTTAGAGTATGTACCTCAACGAGCCATAAAAGGGCAAGCATTGGCAGACTTCTTGGAAGATCATCCCTGCATTGAAGTGTCAAGCGATCCCGTAGAAGTTTGCAAGGTTGGTATAACGCCATAGATCTTGTATTTTGATGGATCCAAAACTCGCGGCGGTGCTGGAGCTGGCGTGATGTTGAAAGCACCATCAGGCCGTGCCATGCATTTTGCATTCTCGTTGGATTTTCCTTGCACCAATAACCAAGCTGAATATGAAGCTTTGGTGGTCAGGTTGGAAATGCTCATTGAGCTTGGAGTCCGCAACGTGGATGTTAAGGGAGATTCACAGTTGGTGGTTCATTAGGTCCGCGGGGATTTTCGCTGTATCAATAGCGTTCTAGAAACATATCTAGACCATGTATTGTCGTTGACTGCCCACTTCGACAGTATGGGGATCAAATTTGTTCCTCAAATGGACAATAGCGAAGCCAACTATCTTGCACAAATGGCTTCGAGATTTAAAGAGTTTGCGAAAAGCAATGCAGTAGAAAAGATAGTGGGCAAAAACTTAAGCCCTTATGGGAGCGGCTGAGATTTGAGCAAGGTTGCATAATAGAGAAAGACGCCGATGACTGGCGTGTACCACTGTTGTTTTACTTGCAAGATCCGAAGTCGAACAAGGTTGTTGACCATGCTGTCAAGTTTAGAGCAAGGAGCTACGTAGTTTTGGATGGGACCTTGTATAAACGCAGACCTGATGGGTTATTGTTGAAATGCTTGGGGGGGCAAGGAGGCGTTGCAAGCCATGGCAGAGGTGCACGAAGGAATATACGGAGCCCACCAATCTTGTCCTTCCATGCGATGGATTCTACATCGCTACGGATTCTACTGGCCCACCATCGGGCCTGATTGCGCCGCATATGCCAAGGGCTATGAGGCTTGTTAACGTCACGGTCTCATTCAAAGAGCGCCAACGGTAGATCTGAAATCCATAATCAAACCGAGACCGTTTTATGGTTGGGCCATGGATTTGATTGGTATGATTTATCCTCCATCTTCAAATAAACATATTTTCATAATTTTGGCCACTGACTACTTCGCTAAGTGGGTGGAGGCCAAACCGTTGAAGGTGGCGAACCAAGAGGAAGTGATTTCTTTCATACAAGAACACATTATCCATTGATTTGGTTTGCCAGCAACAATAACGGCTGACCAAGGAATTGTGTTCACTGTGGGGCAAGTTATGGAGTTCGCGGCGGAGCGGGGGATAAAAATTATCCATTCCGCACCGTATTATGCACAAGCGAACGGACAGGCGGAAGCATCCAACAAGGTCGTGAAAAATATTTTGAAAAAGATGATTGAGGATAATCCGCGACGTGGGCATGAAATTTTATCAGAAGCGTTGTGGGCATACAGGATGTCCCCGCGGAGCAGTACAAGAGTGAGTCCATTCTCGTTAACTTACGGTCATGAAGCATTCCTTCCTGTGGAGGTGACCGTCAACTCACTCCGGTATATGAAGCAGCACGAGTTAACACCTGAGGAGTATCATGAATCAATAATGCTTGAGCTCTGCGATCTTGATGAACTTTAACTCTACGCTCTCGATAATGTTCAAATACAGAAAGCAAGAGTGGCAAGAGCTTATAACAAGAAGGTTCGGCACAAATCATTCAAGGAGGGTGAACTGGTTTGGAAAGCTCACTTGCCGATTGGGGAAAAAGATCCCAAGTTTAGAAAATGGTCGCCAAATTGGCGTGGACCGTTTGTGGTACATTCTGTGCGTCCTAATGGAGCATACTTGCTGAAAGACTTAGATGGAGTGATGCATGAGCGTTTGATAAATGGAAAATATTTAAAGCCATACATGTCGTCCCTATGGTACACAACTGGTCATTAATTTGAGCAATGACGAACAACCATGTGCTAAAAGGAAGGGGCCTAGTCGGCCACCTTGCACAATGTGGTTGAATAGTACGGAATTGGTGAAGTATGCAACAAATACACTAATTTGCCAACTTCGTTACTAATAAAGAAAATCTTTAATGCATGTAAGTCCGGCGGCAGGGTTCACTCGAGTCCAGCCGGTGCGGTACCGCGGTTCGATGCCAAAATGTTCCTTGCTCATCAAACAAAACTGTCTTTCGCCACGAGGTTAGGCAAGGGTTAACAGTGTTGTTTGGCATAGACAATTTGAAACTTGGCATAAAAAAATAAAAAAAGGGAGAGAGTGGGCGGCCAAAACAACGCTGTGAGAAAAAAAAAAAAAAAAAAAAGAGTCCAAGCGGTTTTGGAAAGCTTACCGCAAAGTTGGAGGAAAAGAAGAAAATCAGAGTTGTTTGAAAAAAAAAAACCTCAATGCTGCTATAAACAGCGTCTCCCCAGATAGCTGTGCCTTGTAGTCGTTACTGCTGCAGCTTTAGGGATTTTAAAAAAAATATAATATAAAAATAAAAGCAAATTGCCCTCTACAGCGTTGGGCAAGGAAAAGCCAAAGGGAGGCTTGGGTTTTAATAAAAAAAATCCATATTGTTGGCCGCAAAACCAACTTGGCCAAGTTATATACATATAAAAAATTATAATAAAAGCAAAGCAGAGTTGTTTTTCAGTTGTAGCTTTGCGGCATGAGAAACAAGTGTGTTTTTATTTAGTCAAGCAGCATTGCAATAAAAGGAAAAGGAGCATGGCATAGCCCTTCACAACCTTGGCGAGAGGTAAAGCAACGTTGTTGGTATTTAATTTGGCAAAATTTGTATATAAAAAATGCAAATTTCCTAACAGCATTGCAGCCGCAAGGCTGACGTGGAGAGTGGACATCGGTTCGTCCAAAAACAGTGTTGGCACTGTAAAATAAAATAAAAAAAGGGAACAGGACATAGATGTTTCCGCCAAAGCCGAGTTGTGGTGCGACGACGTTGTTTTTGTTCTTTGCAATGATGTCGTTGGGATCGCAGGGCTGGGACAATAACGCTGTCGTATTGAAAAAAGGACTGCGTATGACCAGTGCAACGTCGCGGACAAGTTTGGATAGATGCGCCCGATAACAAGGAACGAACACGTTTGGCTTCACGGCATTGCAAGTTCACACCACATCATTGCATAGAAGGCTCAGGAAAGGTAAAATCTAATCAACTCATCATAATCATATACAATCTCGTTCAATTCCTTGTCTATTCAAAGCCAAATAGAAGTTTAGTTTTTAGGAGCAATGTCAACAATTTTTGGTTCATAATTCTTATAAACCAAATTGTGGGGGCATTTGTTGGCACCTAAAATTATTTTGGCCTTAATTAAATGCCGCATTAATTAGTCTTGGCATTTAATTCGATACCGCGGGTAAAAAACGGTGTGGTTTGGAGTCGAGCGGCGTCGCGGAGAGTTAATACAATACCGCGAAACAGAAAAACGGTACCGCAAGGAAACTCAGCGGTACCGTGGAATTGGAAACGACACCGCTTACCGAAAAACAAAAGGGGCCACGCGTTCAGTGTGGGTGTTGGAGAAGGAGTTTTTTCTAATTAAATTTTTTTTATTCCTTGTTGGAATGGGACAAGCTGTACAGCATGGGGACAAGCGGCATCGCGGAGAGTTAAAACGATGCCGCGAGAGCCTTGATAAGCGGTACCGATTAATTAAAAGCCAGATCGGGTAAGTGACCAAAATCCGCCCAGCCCAATGCGAGTGCAAACTCGCGGCGGTTCAATGAATTGGTATTTTTGGCTATGTTAGCGGTGTCGTTTAATTAAAAATGGTACCGCGAGTAAGCCCAACGGTACCGCTGTACTAGCAAACGACAGTGTTTAAAATAAAAAAAAACAATGTCGCAAATGGAAAAACAAACGGAGCCGTTTTGGCGCTAATGATGTCATTGGTCAACACACGAGTTTGACTAGTGATGGCCGGATGAATTAATTAATATTTTTAATGACTATTTATGACAGTGTCGTTTAGTTGAAAACGATGCCGCAAGAGGAAAGAAACGACACCGCGGATTAGAAAACGATACCGCTAGTAGGCCAAACGATGCCGCAATAGTTAAAACGACAGTGTTAATTAAAACGGCATCGCGAAGCTCAATAGCAACGCAGAACTAGAAAACGATGTTGTTTAATTAAGAACGGCGCCGCGAAGTGAGAGTTTGACGGCGTGTCAACAATGATGGTTGGTTTAATTGATTAATATTTTAATGATTATTTTAGATGGTGTCGTTTAGTCAAAAACGACATCGTGGAAGATATCAACACCGTCACGGTACTAGGACGGCAAAATCAAATCTCCAATTGCACCGTCGCAGAATCTATCCTTTTTCTCTCTAGTTTCGTAGAACCGCTCTGTCAAAGAACTCCTTTGCAGAGTCGTAGATCATAGCTTGTAGTCGTAGTCACCTCCATAGGAGTAGAGGTAAGGTAACTTAGAACACTCTCGGTTTGGTTTCTCGTTTCTCATTGAACACCCTCGTTCGAACGTAGTTTGGAGAGGTGGCGAACCGAGTAACGGTCGTTCTGGTTAAAAGTCAAAGGTGCATCGATCAAATCAACATCGCTGACGTCGGCGGTGGATATTTGACGATTGTGTTGACTTTGTGTTTGGTGTTTACTTGAAAATAGTACGCATTGAACACGCGAGTTTCGCCAACGAAACAGTCCCTAACTTTGAAATTGGCGGTGCGGTGGAAGGCAGGGCCTCTCCCTCTCCTCATCACTACAACAAGCCATCCAGGCCGATGAGTTGTGAATTAGGAACAACGACTACAGCGGATTACTATGCTACAATCACCAATTCGCAGCCGCAGGAGCAGAGGAGGCCTGTTAGAGTTAAAGAATAAAATTCTTTTATTCCATCCCATGTACCTGCACTCATCGGATTCCCAATGTAGTAGAGTAGTTGGAGATGTAACAACCTCCCCACTAAATCCTCTTGTAATTTGTATAAAGGCTACAAGCCACAATCAATGGAATTAGTTTTCGTTTGCCATATCATCATCTTACAGAGCCCTCGCCCTCTTCCTCAGCCGCCGCCGCCCATTACTACAAAACCATTCCCCACTCGCACAACCACCAACAACAACATCAAGCATTGCATCTACAGCCCGGTCCCGAACTCGAGCAAATCATCTCCGAATCCGCCGTCGTCCACGCCCTGATTCTCGATTTATTTTGCACCACCGTGCTCTCCGTCACTGCATACAACCCGGTCCCGAACTCCCTGATTTGCTGTAGATGCAATGCTTGATGATGTTGTTGGTGGTTATGAAATTTTAGACTGTACAAAAGTTTTAGAATGGTTATATTTGTACTTTTTTTTATTTTTTTGGTATTCGATTATATTTGTACTTAAATTATGATCAAAGAAAAAAGGGAAAATGAACACTTTGACGTGAATGTATTTGTAGCAAAATGCCCTTTTGATCACAAACTCTCACTTATCAATTATCAGTTTACCATGATTGTTTATTTACACGGCTTCAAAATTCACAAGTACATTTACCTCCTTTTTTTTTTTTTTTTGTTCTTTGCATTCCATTGATTCATCCCCAATCCAAAGATGTCGCATTTCATTTTACTGGCTTTCACAATCTTAAGCCAGTCCTAGCTAGCCAGAAGGCGTAACTTCTGAACCTCCTCTAACAACTTCTTGCTGACTAGGACTTGCAATTGTTGGAAAATGTGATGGACTTAACCCAGCAGCCATTGCCGTCGCTGATGGTGCTTCTGCTGCTGGCGTCTGATTCCCAGAACCATGCTGTTGGCTTGGTAGTTCTGTGGCTGGCTGCGTCGAGTTCCTAGCCGTCCGTGGCTGGCCTGATCGAGCCCGTAGCTGCCCTCTCCATTTCAGAATCTCAGTTAAACCTGAACTCATACACATTGTAGCTCCAAAACCAGTGAACGTGGCAAGAAGAACTGACAGAACAGCCTGCATGTGAATCTGGAACGGTGTCCAACCATGGAAAACATCATCATTTACTCACTAAATCGTTATCCACATATTTATCTCTGTTTACCAGAATCAGCAAGATATCACCCACCAAAGAGTAGAACAGATGACCCGCAATGACCACCAATACGAACTGGGCAGTTGCATAAGCCCACACATACTTTCTCCTGACTGGAGAAGAGAGTTGCAACTTAATTAGAGAAGACTTAGAGTTGGAGGAGATCAATATCTAAAATCCAAATATTCAAACAGAGAATAACTGGAAATATAAAATAAGATCCTACCCATTGTTGTAGAAGACATGGATGCCAGGAGACCCAAAATACAGGCGAATGGAAGAGAAATGGCAATTGCACCAGACCCCAGCTTGGCAACCTGACATGCCGTTGGAAGATAGTAAACAAGAGGTAATTGCAGAAGAATGCAGCAATTTAAGAGGCTATACTGTTAACTTATAAAGGTTTAAAAGCCATCGCATTATATTTACAAATACAAAAATTCATATAAAAAAAGAATCCATTTCCAACTTTAACCATTGAAAATAAGAATATATTCTTAGTTAAGTTTATTTCATCAAACTCACTCATTCTGTTATTAGTAAACCGATTATCTATCTTTCAACAATCATTTTTTCGTTATTAAAAAACATATTTCACATCCCCATCAATCTAATTTTCCTAAACTTTGTTGAACACTTTCTCTGCACTTTTACTAAGATTTAAGAAATCACTTTCGAATTTTTAGATTTTTTTAGCAAGGATTTATTGCTTACCAGAAGCTGCTCAAGGAAACAAAAGTAAGCAAGCATGCTGACAATGACGAGAATGGGGACATCCTGCCAGACCCTGTAGGACATCACTTTGGAAACATTAGTTCTTCCTTTTCGATTCCAGAAACGTTAAGTGTCAAATGACAGAGAGCATTTTTGACTTGCCTGTATGGTGCCAGCTCAACTTGAGGTCCATTCCTACGACTCTGAGAAGTATGAATCCGTAGAAGTGTAACCGGTAAGTTCTTAACCTCTTCCTTGCAAACATCACAGATTTTGTTACCTTTGATGTTGAACCACTTCACCAAACACTCTTGGTGGGCTAGTGCCAGTTCACCTTTACAGCAACATTCCATCTTCAGGGTATCGCCAGCTTCACCTAACTCCACCAAACAGATTCTGCAAACAGCTTCTTCTACTGGAATATCTTCACCACCATCGTCATTTTCATCTGCACCACAGGGCTAACATGAGGCAAAGGGTAAATAAATAAACACAGTTTTCTTAAGACCAGCAGTAGTAAACAGCAGTTTACAAGGGCAGATTTACCAGTCTCAGCCCCAGGGGAAGGCATTGATGTCGCTTGTAAAGTTCCTATAGGTGACCTTGGAGTGGCAGGAATGACACGAATCACTCCACCTAATGAATCCAATTGCCTCAAGCTCACATCTTTGTTCAGAACAGGAACTGAACGAGAACGGTGCATCGGTAATTGAGCTTCTCCCTTCTGTTATAAAACGAGTCAACATGAATGAATGGTCACAGTGAGCATTTACACTCAAAAGCTTAAGAGAATTGCATTACTCACAGCAGAATTGTGTGGATCAATTGTATGCCTTCCATGCATTGACTCAGGATTCGAACGAGAAATCGGCGAAACGGGTAAGGATGTTGTGTTCTTGTTATTTGTCCTTGGGGTGAAACCGAAAAGTTTGGTCAAAGACGTTGTTCTTCGGAAGAAAGACCTCTCTTTAACCGAGTCTGGTGAACCCCCAAGTGCTAGAATTGCAGCCCTTTCAATGTCTGCCGTGCTTCGTCTGTACTTGAAACTCAATTTTGGGAGTAAGTTTTTCCGAGTGGATTTAGCCTTTGATGTCGAGCCGTCAGGGGATTCGCTGTATATGGCAAAACTGGGACTGCGGAAGGGAGAAAAGTTTACTCTTTTAGGGGTGGAAGTGGGGCTACGATATGAAGGCATTTGGATTGCCACAAAATCATCGCTGACTTCTTCCATATTTCTCGCCGGTATTTCCACACTGAGGTCATGCTGCCATCGTCGTTGGTGCTCCAACTTTTCCTCTGTTATTTCTGTTGAACTTGCAGCCTAAGAAAAATGAAAAGTAATTAGAACAGAGGATGAGTGGAACTCCACAAACAACACCAATTAAAGGCTTTCTTCAAAGAGACAACAACTTCTTTTGGAGACGATGACTGTGAAATTCACAAAGATTGACCATCTAAAAACCAGCCATAAAGTGAAGACTCTTAAATGGGTTTCCGTGCAGAAGAAACTTCTTTGAGGAAAAAGGTCGAAAACCTGGTAGGCGCCCACTTGTGAAAACCCATAGAAAATCAATTACACACCTTTCCAAATTCCAGGATCCTCTGCTTTCAACTATGATCACCCATCCGACAAGTAGAAAAGCAGAACCCAGATTTTACAAAGTAAAAAAGGTACGAAATTTACAACCATCAGGAAAAGTTTTCTCCTAAAAGGGTAAGAACGAAAAGGGAAGGAGGGAAAGAAGTAATGTACTCTTTGGAGTGGGCTGCCATTGCTAGCTCCCTGTTTAGCCTTCTGCTTTGGGAGAAGTTGTTCATCGCCCGCCATGGTATTGTTATGTCAACGACCTATAGTTTTACAGAGCAGAAATTTCTGGATTAGCTTTTCCACAAGTTGGAGCAGAAGTCTCTCCTTTCCTTCTGCCTTTATATGAATTGCCGTACGAGAGCTAAAGAGCACAAAATGTCAATAGTAAGAGACTGAAAGAGAAATGTGGCCTTTGCCAGGTGGGATGAGGAGTGGCTGGGGCAGGCTGCTCTCTCTGCGGTCTGTCTGGTGATTCTTCTTTTATAGTTCTTTTAATCAATCACTAGTATTTAAATTTCCTTTAAAATCGAATAAATTGATTGGAAATCAAAACTAGGAGACGGGGGTGGATTAAAAAGAGGGGTAGAGAAAAAAATGATGAAAGTGATGGATCAGTTGGCAAGGAGGAAGGGAGGTTGGGCGTGGAAGTGATTGAACTGCTGGATTTTGTCGACTGCTAATATATACTCATTAGCCTAGCCGCCTTAGTCAACGACTCCAAATTTTAATAAAACAAATACCTCGTTGCAGCTACTAACTCTTTATTTTATCATTCTCAAAGAACAAAACTTCTCTTATCTTATCTTATGTTTGTTTTTTTTTTTTTATTTTTTTTTTTTTTTACAATTGCTTTCTTTTATGTTATCTTCCATATAAATCCAATATTTATCTAACCTTTCCCTTAGCACACAGGTAAATCTATAATGCCCACAGGAAAATGTACAATGCCCATGTTTGGCACTTTTTAGAAGTGTTTTACTCAATGTTATTAAAGCCGAGCCTCTCGACCCGATCGGTAAAACCGTCATTCGGTCACAAAATCGGCTCGAAACAGTCTAAAAGCCGCTCCGGTTTTATGTAGCGGTTGACGAGCGGCCGAGGCGGTTAACCGCTCGAGCCGCTAGTCCGGTTTTTGTCATTCAACCATTAAATTTAATTAAAAAAATTTCAAAAAATTGAAAATTGAAATAAACCAAAAGCGTCGGGCTCTCAAACTGAATCTGTATTTCCATTTCACAATTTCGAAGGAAAGAAACGAGCTCTGATTAAGAAATATCCACTATTTATACTGATAACGTTTATTAGGTACCAGTTCTCTAATGGTTTTTAAACGGTCTAATACCGGTTGGACCACTAAAGTGCGAGCCGTTCGCATTACCGAGTCATACTCCAATTCGATTCTGACAACATTGGTTTTACTGTTTTCTGTTTAAAAAACGGAAGCTAGAATAAACAGCTCTGTAAGTTCAGCTATTGAAAAAGCGGACAACTTTTTTTTCCCCTGTAACACAAAAACAGAAGCTCAAATATTAGAACTTTTACAAAAAGTTGTTTTTAAAATATAAAATTATCCATACCATATTTTGGAAATAATTTTTTGCATGGTGTAAGGTTCCAATCCTTCGGTTTGCATTCAACCTAAGAGAAAAACCTGGGTTAAGGTCAAGGTTTTGGCTATGATAACTCATATTAGACGAGGATAACATCCTTTTCAAACCTTTTTGGAAACCTGGGAACCAATGCTATAAATTTTTGGTTCGTTCGAATAAGAGAACATTTCATGTATCATCTAAGTTTTTAACTATCGATCGAGAAATTCAAAGATAGTAATAGTGATTGTTTTACTACATCAATAAGCCTTTAAGAGATGGATTTCATCAAGGAGACACTACAAGAAAACTCAACTTTACCGTCTATTTTTTCCCATTTTACTGTCGGTTCCAACAGTCGGCAAATGTACTCCTGACGGTTAACATAAAGCGTCGACAAAACTGACGGTAGAATACCCGACTGCCAACGAACTTAGATGACGAAGTCGCCCAAATCAATCACGGAAAACAAAAACAAAAAAAAAAACCGCCATGATATTGCATCTTTACTGACCAATAAATGCCGACCTTTTGCAACAACACTGCCCCAGCTAAACTTGCTGAATGGTCGCCAAAATTAAGTTCTATCTCAAGCCTGCAATCTCAATAACTCATCCTAACACTAATGCCATAATCTCGATCAAAATTCATCACAAACTAGTTTCTAATCATGTAGATGAACTCTTAAAAGCAGCAGCTGAACATATCGAAATATCACCCTTTGCCAAATGAACATACATGGTCCCATCTACACATGCACAGAAGCATATAAAGCACCTATCATAATCATGTTACCATATCTAAATGATCCCAATTTTCATCTAATCAAAAGCCTACTTAACCCATCCCAGCAAACTCCTTAACATCCACAACCAATTAATCATTTGCTCTTCTCAAACATCAAGCTTCAGCGGCAACGTAATAGTCCTATTATAATAAGGACATCAAATATGAGAGATCACTGCCTAATAAACTACAAATCATCGCGGACCACCAAAAGGATGTGACTTCATACTTATTACGACAAATCACAAACATATTAAAAAAAACACGATCTGAAAGTTCCATTGTCCCCTTTCAATCTCCCACCAAGACTGTAAAACAGAACAAGAGAAATTTCACGAATTTGAATAGTTGACTGTTTAGAGCTCCCACTACCAGTAACCTTAGAAGAACGCGTACATGTACATAATGTTGCAAAGAGGAGTAACGAGAAATCTCGTCAATTCCACACCCCAAATAATCCTATTTCTATCATGCTTGTATATCGAAATAAGAGAACACAGAAATAAACAGAGGAAAGGGGAAAGAAAAATACTTGCGTCGAGAAGGGAAAGAAGTTCTTCGACGGAAGGAGGGCCATCGAGCGTATTCCCAGCTTTCTCGAGCTGTTGGCGTCACTATCAATTAGTAATATGCACAAGTACCAAAAACCAAATTGGAGTCAGAAAAACTTGCAGCGCCATAAAGCTCATAAGCTACTAGCAATGTAACTGTCTCCATTGCATACTACAACACGTAAAACTCAAGTTAAAGTCATTGCTGAAGCCTGAATACCTCTCCCCTCTTGCTCCCAACAAATAAGTTAGCCATGACTTACTGTGTACATAACTAATTAAATTGGGAATACCATTTGCGTACCAATAAGAGGGATTAATGTTGTTGAACTCTTCCAACCCTATCATCCAACTAATGAAGCAAACAAGAAATGGGAACGAAATCTGAACTCTACCTTTACAGTGATGAATTGGCATCTCCCCACCCAGTAAGATACCCCTCCTTGCCATAGTTCTTCTCTACCTGAGAAACACACAAGCAAGAATTTAGAGAAACTAATTAAAACCCTAGGCAAACAAAAGTCAAATGAGGAAGAAATGCGAACCCTAATTTCCGTCACTTGGTTTTCTTTTCCCTAATTTTGCAGGCTCCCAATCTTAAATCGCGTCAGCTACGGTGAAATCGAAGACAACCCCACGCCGTCGTCCGACACCGCCAAACTCCTTTAAGCCATTGCTGCTCAGAAAGTCAAAGCTCTACGAGGCCGATCCGACGTTCATCAGGATACTCGCCAACAGAGGGTAGCACAGTCAGCAGCGAAATCGATGGGGTCCTCTGAGAGCGACGGAGAAAACGACAGGCGGCCGCAAAACAACCACACTGCTGTAGTTGACCTCGAACAGTTCGTTTTCGAGTTGGATCTTCCCTAAAAAAATATAAAAAAAAGGGATAGTGCCCTATTTGGTTGGAGCATTTTTACTAATAAATCGTTATTCGTCACTCTAAAATTCAAATTTTGTCGCCCTAAAATGCATCAAATTGATACTTTTACCCTTTGGCCAAATTTCGAACCGAAATCTCAAACAAAAAAATCCTTACCCCTGCCCAGCCGCCGTCGAGCTCAACTTTCCTCGTGTGTTGTTCCCGCTGTCGGATTCTTCTGGCCGGCAACTGCCCACCTCAAATTGACTTTGTCCGATACTTGGTTGACGGAGACTAGGACGGATTCCAAGTTGATTTTGTCCAATACTTGGTCAGGTTGAGTTTCGGGGGCGAAAGAGAGAAAAGGGTAGAAGAGGTGAATTGCGTTTGGCTTCAGATGTTGTGTTCAATTCTTCTCCTTTGATCCATATCATCCAAGGCATCAGGATCATCATCATCCTTATCATTCGACGGCTTTCTTCCCCTTTCATCAAGTGTTCCATTTATTGGCTTTGCATGTTTACCGTTTGCAATTTAGGTTTCCGATTGTAATTTTGTGTTTTGATTCCAGGTTTTTGGCGGAGGTGAGGAAGAGCGGCCGGAGGAGAAAGAAAGGTCACCTCCGGCGACGACGATGGCGTCGTATGTATAATGTGTTTATTTTAGTGTTCATATGTTTTGAAAACAAATATTAAACTAAGGATATTTGAGTCATTTTGATAAAAGTTAGGGCGACGAATAAGGTATTTTAGGGCGATGAATAGTAATTCCCTTACTATGGCTAAATTACACGTTTGGTCACTCAAATTATATAAATATTTCACGTTTGCAACTCAAATTATTTTTCTTTCTAATCCGCCACTAACTTTACGAATTGTTTCACCGTTAGTCACCGGCCGTTACACTCCGTTAAATTTGCCATACGTGGCAGTCAACTATAAATTTTGACCGTTAACTAATGACGTGTAAATTAAAAAAAAATAAAAAAAATAATTTTTTTTTAATGAAGAATAACATCATCAGGTGTTGCATCTCGTCTAGTGCATCCTGTTGGATCGTCCACACCAACGGCCGCATCGAAGAGATCAGCGTCTCCATCCGCACCGCCGAGGTGATGAAGCTTGTTGATGTGACTTGAATCGGACTATCAGCTGCTAGGACTGGTAGTCGGGGGTCTCGCTGCCCGGTCAGCGAGTGGGTGCGGGGGCAACGCCCCCGGCCTACGGTGTATGGGCTCAATGTTATTTGGGTTCGGGTTTTGGGCCTGGTCTGTAACCGTTTCCTTTGCCAGATTGGATTAGGTTTAGACCCACATGGAGAAGTACTATAAATACTTCTCATACTCCTCTGTAATATGTAATCTCCTCGATATAGTGAAACTGGCTCTCTCTCGCCCGTGGACTAGCTAACACACATCGTGTTAGTGAACCACGTAAATCGTGTGTCTGTGTTTTTTCGATTCTCGCTTTAGTATTCTTTCTTGCTTTATCGATTCCGGCGATTTCCTGATCCATAGCAGCGCGTTTATAACAAGTGGTATCAGAGCCGCGGCTGGAAATCAGGTTAGGGTTTTCGATTCAGAAGAATGACGTCGGTGAACATGAAGATCGAAAAGTTCACGGGGAATAACAACTTCGCTATATGGCAGATCAAGATGCAGGCTTTATTAA